TCAGTATTACCTTTTAAAGTATTATGCATATTAATAATAATAGTAATATTCTAGGAGATCACCAGAGATGTTTTGAAAAAAATCTAGGCTTAAAATCATCAGTAATTAAATAAAACAAACTCAATTTGGTTAATTCAAGTCAGATTCCCTTCACAATTTCCAACCCAAAGTATTGAAATCCTTTCCCTCAATAGTACTCTAGAGGGAGTTAAAATGTATCAGTCCATTATCTTATGTAATATAAATATTCTTACATAGCTGATATGAGTGAGTTATATGGCTTCTTGTAAAGGTGCTCTCATTCTAGACAAAGGATAGAGCAGTGAATATGTTTCTGAAGTAACAAAATTCTCAGAAAAAGTGTTAAGTACGCACAATGATTACTACCAGATCTTTTGTCAGAATAATGCTTCCTTCACTAGCTGAATAATTGACCCACACAAGAAAAATAGTACATCATTGTTATGGCTTGTAGCTAGATGTCCCTTCAAAGCCTCATGCAGCCGTAGGTGGGGGTTTTCAGAGGCAGTGGGATATAAAGTTATGTGATGCCAGGATTAAGGATGTGATGCTGGGATTGATTCACAGTGAGACGCTAGGATGACCTGGGTGAGACCCTGGATGTCAGTGCTACCTGAATAGAGTACAAACGATAGAAAGATGCTGATCACTTGCTGTTTACTGCCTGTGGATTTGCTGCTTTCTGCCTACTATAAACTGTTTGTCCTCTATGATGCCCCTCTGCCATGCCACCCTGCCTTGGAGACAGTCAACTGTGAACTGAAACCTCTACAAAGTGTGAGCTACAATAAACCTTTCCTCCTTAACTTCAGGTGTCAGGTGTTTTTGTCTCAGCAATGAGAAAAGTGGCTAAGACAATCATACTGACCTAGTTCTCAGGGTAAGCAATGAGTAAGAGATGATTGTGGAATATTTATCAAAAGTAAATATCTAACTGGGGTTAGCCTTTGGATGGGCTGAATGAAAATGAAACTATTAAGCATGAAAAACTACAGGTTTATACACATTTAATCTTGCTAGTCTCCTCCTGAACATGCCTAAGAAACGACAGTCCTTCTTCAACATATAGCATAATCCTTGCATGCGATTTCCCTCTGAAGGGAAAGGTGTATCATGCATGGATGAAAGTCATCAGTTACTAAAACACTAACTACATACTGGCTACCTCATTACCTCACAACTTTGTGAAGTAGAAGTAGGTCCTGTTGACCTAATTTTACAGATGAGGAAGCAAATTTCAGAGAGGCAGAAGTAAGATTTGAAGCCAGTGCTTTGCTTGCACAACTAGCATACATTTAGTTTCTGTTAAAAACAAGTCTGACCATTTAACCTTGCCTGGCATCTCATCGGGGAAAGGGGTATTAAGTGGAAAACAATGACAAAGGAGGAAGAGGCAGACTGCATATTGTTTCAGGTTCCTACACGCTCATCCGCAGCAAAATTAACAATAGCAAATATGAAATGATTTGTAAGGAGTAATAAGCTATGGAACTAATAACCAAGCTGCAGTAAAACTTAAACCAGAATTTCAAATGTTGAACGAACCCAATCCTTTATGGTAGCCCTCCAAGTACAATTCGTGGAGAACTTGCATCGAATTACATCAGGTACTGGATAGGTGTAAGAATTAACGCTTAGAAATCGGAGTCAAGATCTTTGAGCAAGGTCCAGGATTTTATACATGATTTCCATGCAACAAAAGTTTGATAAGTACTATTGGAGCTCCTAACCTCAGTTCCATAACTTTTTCAAACTTCATGAAGTGGCTGCAGAGTTCATCGGAGTCACAATTATCAGGTAAAAACACAATAGGATGCTGCAAATACATTTGTCTCTTGGTACCCTTGGGAGATTGGTTACAGGACACCTGCTCTCCAAATTCCCTTATATAAAATAGTGTCATGTTTACATAGAGCCTATGCAATACTCCTGTATATTTTAAATCATCTCTAATTGCTTTTAATAGCTCACATAATGTATACACCATCTAAGCAGTCATTGCATTGCAACATTTAATTAAGAAGTGATGACAAGGAGAAAATATACTGCAGAGTATAGACATAAATTTTTTCCCAAAATACTTTCTTTTTTCTTTTTTATATTTATTTACTTAATTGCAGTACTAGGGATGAAACATAGGTTCTTTTCACTGAGCCACATGGCAATATTCTTTTTTTCCTTGAGCCACGCCTGATTGAGCCCAAAAGTTGTCCAGGCTGGGCTCAAACTGATGATCCTGGTTCAACCTGGGGGCACCACAGACTTTCAATTCATGGTTGTTTGAATCTATGGATGCAGAACTTGTAGATATGGTGAGTCCCATGTGTAACATAGCTGAATTTAGTCTAGCAACATATAGACTATGGGAATACCCAGACCTGATCTCAGATCTCATCCGCTGCTTAGTAGCAATGTGCTTATGTGTATGTTTCTAATATCTCTGATCCTTAGTTTCTATGTATGGAAATAAAAATATGAGGACTGAGACAATATATGTAAGTATAATGCCTGGCACATAGTACCCATTCAGTAAATGATAGGAATCTTTATTATTAAACATCTAATGCTGTAAAGAGGTAGGATGCAAACTTTTTTTTAAAAATACAGTGTCTTGTTATGTAGCCCAGGCTGGTCTTGAACTCAGGGTGATCCTCCTGCTGCAACCTCCCAAGCCTGGGTTGGGTGCAGTATCTTAATAGACTCAAGTATTGAAATAGTAGGGGGCAGAGTTTTCAAATGATTTGCAACATTGGGGACTCAGCACCCAGCACTGGAGTCAAATTGTCTGGATCCAAATTCCAGCTGGTCTACTTTCTGACTCCTTGCAGAATAAACCAGACCCTTTTCACCCCCTGGGAATGAGACCTGTGCTAGTATCACTACTCCGCATATCTATTCACTATGCTGCTAAAGGAGGAGGGTAAAGGTAAAGGTGTATAGGTAAAGACTTTACAACAGTGACTAACATATGACGTTTTGACAGTGACTAACATATGACGTTTTGTAAGTGCTCACAAAAAAAGAAAGAGAACCTGACAAGCATGAGGTCCTGAGTTTGATTCCCAGTATCCCCCCCCTCCACCAAACAAAGAAAAACGGAAAATAAAAGAAAGAGGAATCTGCTTATTTGTGTTCTTATTCAACAAATGTTACATGACTACCACGTGTCAGAAACAAGTTTATGTCCAAAATTGAACTCAGTGTTTCCTTTGTCCTCTACATTTCCAAGTCTATTGGTTTTTGTTTATTTGTTTTGTTTTGTTTACTTTTTTTCTCAGCTGAATTCTATGCTGTTCAGGCTGCTCTTGAACTCCTGGACTCAAGTGATCTTCCCGATTCAGCCTCCAGAGTAGCCAGGACACTGGACCTCTCGCTGTCTTTTATTGATGTTCATGGTGCTACTCGGGCTGGGATAATGGTAGAAAATATATTTGAGTGCGAGGCAGTATTCTGACTTTCCTTTTGGCTTTTTGTTGTTGGTGGTGTTCCACATGCCTGAAACTCATTATGTAGCCCAGGCTAATCTTGAACTCAGGGCAATCCTCCTGCCTCAACCTCATACAGATATGAGCCACCATGCCTGGCATGAGGCAGTATTCTAAAGATGTTTTAACATGAAATTATTTCTATTCAGAGTGACTGCATTAAGAATAGGCACTATTAAAATATCAATTTCCAGGTGAAAAAAGTTGTAATAACTATATACCAGAGTCTAGGGTTATAATGTTCATAAATAGTAAAGCCAAAATTCAAACCGAAGCAATTTAGGTTTGTTATGTAGTTTGTTGTTGTTATTGGTTTTTTGAGACAGGGTCTCATTGTATAGTTCAGACTGGCTGTGAACTTACTGTATAGCATAGGCTGGAACTCACAGCAATCCTCCTGCCTCAGCCTTCCAAGTACTTTGTTTACAGGTGTGCACCACTATGCGAGGCCATTTTGTATTTTAAAGTCTGACATAATACTACCTCTGAAGGTTTTGGGATTGTCAGCAAAGAGTTTTCTTTTTATCATTCCAGTATTGCACACAACCCTTAGTCCTCTTAAATACCTCTGAATCTATCCCCTTTATATTCACAAAATAGAGACCAACTTTATTTTCTACTTCTGCTGGCCCAGCTTTTAGGTTCTCACCCCATCCTTCTTGCCAAAGTAAGGAGTCAGAAATGTTTCTAAAACAGACCTGAAAAATGACTCTCTTCATTGAAAACATTTAATAATATCTCCATTTCTACCAAAAAGACCCCAATATTGCATGTCATTCAGTTAGGCACCCCATATACTGTCTTGTGTATAGTTAAGTACATTGCACTTTATACTCATTGTTAGGAGCGTATTTGCTCAACTTTATATACTTGCATTGCCCCGGCTCCCACAGCCCACAGCTACAAATGAGATCTCTATATATCTAATATAGGACTCCTAACCATCCATGACACCACCTTCAAGCTTACAGCCTCCAGCTGTTGCAAAATCCTCCCCACACGGGCGACAAAGTCATCCAGGTCCTTGGGGGTGACTCTCTGGAGCTTTGTTGTGAATGCACCCCAAGTCCAGTCCAGTCCCCAGATGGAACGTGGACTCCGTCTCTCCCCTTGTCCCCCTGGGCCCTAGATTCTCAGCAGTCCCCAGTGGCCTAAGTGCTAAAGTAGGAAAGAACAGCTTCCCCATGGTGAGGAACTGTTAAAGAATTCACAGTGGAGATGTCATTCAGCCCATGCGCTTAATGAAGTTGCTGTTGATAGCAGAACCTTGGGCATTAGCTATGATTGGGCATCAACTGAGTAGGTGAATTTGAGGTGCAGTCAGATCACCATAACCAGAATCCCTCCTCACTCTAACTGTAGCTTCATTTTTGACCCATGTCATTTTTTCTCTAGCGTGTTCTGCCACACAAGAGTTTCCTCAGCTACTTCGGTAAAACTATGAGGAGCTACCATGCAGCCACATTAGGTGCCTCTGGTCACCTCCAGACTGAGGCAGGAAGGTTGGAGCTGGCCAGGGGCCACCCGCCAAATGTCACCCGGGGGTGCGCGTGGGCGGGGGCAAAGCTTCAGCGCTTGGCTGGCGGTTGGTCCTGCGCTGGCGGTTGGTCCTGCTCGCGGCTAGCAGGACCCCCTAGGTCTCGAGGGACGGATTCTAAACCACTGCACATTGCCCAGGAGACCCCAGTGATGGCACTGTGGACTCGCCTGTATGGCCGCGTCCTGGAAAGCTCTAGGGTAAGTGGGGCCAGAACTTGTACAGCACCCGGTGAGGTGCTAGAAATCATCGTGGTCAGGTGTGCGGTCGCGGGGATCTCTTGCTGGAGGGTCGCACCTGCCTGGGGTACTACCTGGAAGTCTTCAGCGATCCCTGTCGCCCTCATTAGGCCCGTCTGTCTATGTGACGCAATAGCCTCTCATGATCGTACCTCTCACCTTTCCTTCCTAACCATTCTCCACTGTACTGACCTGCTGTATTTCCATTGTGAAGCCTTCTTTTTTTTTTTTTTTTTTTTTTTTTTTTGAGCTGTAAACTTAAGTTAGGTTGACTGAACAGCCACTGCAGTCCTTGAAAAACATCTCTCTTGAGCCATAGCAAATCCAATTCCTTTCTGTGTTCACTAAATTAAGCCCAAGAATTCAGGCAGGCCTTCCCAGGAGCTGACTGCACACAGTCAATAAGATGTAAGATGTAAGATGCCTGTTGGATTTTGTACTTGTCAGTTTTCCTGGCTGTATACTGCTTCTGTGCTTTTCCTGAAAAAGGATTGAGTGGAATGGGCCCCTACCAGGAAATAGAAAAAATTAGGTAACAGAAGCGCACTTGTTTTCAAAACTAAAAAGTTTGCTTTTGCAAACAAAACCTCACATGGTTTGCTCTATTCTTTATAGGAGAAATAAGTAGCTCTCTTTGGGCCTTACATCTTCCCAGCGTTGTTGTCTTCTTTAGTGTCTTCATGTGGTGGCTTTCTGCATTTAATGGGTGCCTGGGTGTATCTTCACAGAGTATTTGCATCCAAAGAATAACAGATCTGTGAATAAAGAGATTGTCAGCTTTCCTTTATTAGCTACAGATACTCATAAAGTTGTAGATTTGTGGGAACCTGTATTTTCCGTATAATGACTAGTCCTGTGTTTTTGTTCCAAAATGATGTGTGAGGTGATGCCCACCATCAGTGAAGAAGGCCCTTCAGGAGGAAGTGAAAACCATGGATCTGGCTGCCCTTCACAACCAGATGCAGATTCCCATTTTGAACAGCACATGATGTCCATGCTAGAAGAAACATACATTGCTCAGAGCACACTGATAGAGACTCAAGAAACATTGGCGTTGACCCAGGGGAAATTACTCGAGGTTGGTCATGAGAGAGATTCGTTGCAGAGACAACTCAATACTGCGCTTCCACAGGTATGTGTGGTTTTCACCTGAAACTACAGGTTTTTTCTGTTACGTGTCTTTCTGTGGTACCATCTTTTGTTTTTGTACCTGTATATTTTGTGTAACCAACCACTTGTCAAATGATAGTTCCTAGTGTTTGTAAGCGCATGCAGAGTTCCTGGGGATTCAGCTACTTAGGGCAAACAAACTAGTGTTCTGTAAAGCCATGTGAAAATATCTTACTACTTTCACTCTTCGCTGAGGAACTGCTAAAGATTTGGGAATGCACTTTGAAGGTTTTTTAAAAAGACTTGAAACAACAACCAAGCGGCATGGTCCTTGGTTTCTTTGATTCTGTTTTGTGAGATCTCTTGCTTAATGTAGGCTTCCCATGGCTTGTATCTCAGGAATTGTATGTGTGTTTAGGATTGTATCTCAAGGATTTGCAGTTTTCTAATGAAATTTGGTAGATAATAATTTTTTTTTTGTTTTTGGTATCAGGAATCGAACTGAGGACCTTGCTCTTGCCAAGCAGATGCTTGTTGCTGCTGAGATATTATCTCTAGCCCTTGAAATTTGGTAGACAAGGATTGATTTCACAGAGAAAAATTTTTACAGACTATCTTTACAGAATACCGGTGTTTGTAAATCACATTTGTAATAAGGGATAGAAAACTGGAAATTTATTCTTTAGGAACTTTCTCCTTTTAGACTAGACTTCTAAGTTTAAAACAACTGGGCTGGGGATTTAGTTCAGCAGCATAAGCTTCTGCCTGGCAAGCATAAAGTCATGAGTTTGATCCCCAGTACCAAAAACAAATATATAAAAGTAAAAACCACCTCAAAGTTGGAAACAACTGTACTTCTTTCTTTAATTATATTACATTCAGCCCAGTATCTCAAAACTGCCTCTTGTGGAATTAAATGGAGACTGAATGGCATGCGAAGGGAGAACATAGTAAAACTAGAAAAATGTAAGGTAAATGGTACACAGCATAGTGGGAGATAAGTAGCTTATTATTTAGGTGTTTATAAGCCATCGAGTACCATTTTACTTGTTCATAATAGTTGCCTTTCTGGTCCATTCAGGTAGACCTGAATAAGCATACATCTATGCTGTCATGATGAGTCTGCAGTGATAAATCGGCAAATGAACACTAGCCCTAATGTATTTGTTGGCTATAGTCAATTCTCCTGAAAGATTAATAAGCCAAGCATTTGAATTTCCTTTTTAGAAACAATAATTTGATGTTAGTGCTATATGTTTCTTTTGTTGGTTAGAGAATCAGTAAATTGTTTGCTTTTGTGGAGCATAGGGTTGAAGGAGGGCTTCATTTGTGTTTGCCTAAGTGCTCTGTCACTGAGCTCCATCCCTCCTAGTCACATTAAGATTTTTCTCATTGGAATCTTATAAATGTCAGAGTTTATTTAGGTCAGATTTTACTATAGAAGATTATAAGAACTGGCCAACTTGTATTTGTGTAGGGAGGTAATGGGGAGCAGTTTATGTGAAGGATTTTATAGTATATACAGGTATTTGTAAATTTGTGATGGTTTAGTTTTGTTTTTGTAATATATTGACTATAATTTGAGATAGATCTACAGTTTATCTAATACATAGTTAATCTATTCAGTTTTTGGAAAAAACAGGCAGGCAGGACCTGAGAGGGAAGTGACAGGAGTTTTGTAGAGTTGGTTTCAGGCAGTGGGTGTTGTCACACCTGCTGATGAGGTGGTTGCCTGGTGATTTGTTTCTGGGGGGTTCTCAGTGTAGCAGCCTGGAAATGCTTAGTTTAGTGCATAATGTGATGATGCCACCAGGTCCCGTCACCATCTGAGCACCTGATGCAGCATTTCAGAAACACAGAAACCATGAAACAAACTTGTTTTGGTCCTTTTCCTTTCCTGGAATCAGGCTCATCTTTGGTAGTTGTTTGACTAGAGAGGCCTGTCAAGTAAGTGCCCGGTGTACTTTTGGCACATTAGGTAGGCAGGTCAGAATGTGCCCTACTTCTAAAAATTGAAGTAAAAGGCTGGGCATGGTAGTGCATTCCTGGAATCTTCAACCCTTAGGGAGGCCAAGGCAGGAGGATCAGAAATTTGAGCCCAGCCTGAGAAACTTAGCAGTTGTCTTAAATAAAAAATAAAAAGAGAGCAGAGAATGCTCCTCATAATGAAGGCCCCCAACTATAGCAAATATCAGAAATCTTCTCAGCGAATTTTCCATAGAGCCAACACACTTGAGAAACAGTTCCTACATCAAAATGAAACACTGGAAGCCCCTGCCTAGTTTCCAGTACAGGTGTTTCTCATTTAATTACCTGCTTAACAACTGTTTGGACTTCCCTGCTGCTCAGACTTATGCCTCCTCTTTTTTTATTTTTTGTAAAGTTCTGCACATCTGGTTCAGAGACTCTCAATGGTTTTTTTTTTTTTTTTTTTGTTTGTTTGTTTTTTAGTTTGTAATGTTTATACAGTACTATACTTTTTCTGATGGTACTCTATGGTACTGTAGTTTCATGTTCTGTTGTACATTATATACTGCATAGAAGTTGTGCAAATAAAGGCAAAGTCATCAAGTTGGAGTTTCCTTTGACCATTTCTTTGTGCTGAGTGTTGTAATGTATGTACTATATACAGCTCCTCATTTAGCAACTAATTCTTTTAACGCTGTACTGACAGGAATAGGACTTGGTGGTTAAATGAGGAATCCTTGTACCTTTCCTCCAATTCTAACAATGGTCTTGATCTCTCACCATTGATTATTTTTGCTTCTTCTTGACTAAATGAAGTAAAATAGTACCTATATTGTGTTTCTTGGTTGTTTCATTGTTCATGAGATTTACCTGTGTCCTATATTTTTTGCCTATTCTCATCTGTTGTCTGGTAATCCAGCATACCAATATATCAAAATTTGTTCTTTTCTATTCATGAACATTCAGGTTGATTCCAGTTTTTATCAATTCTATCCTGAGTATTCTTGTGTATTATTTCTTTTGTGTATGAGAGTGAAGCTATGGCTGAGCATGGCGGCATATGCCTATAAACTCAGCAGGGCAGAATGTTGAGGCAAGACGACTGCGAGTTTGCGCCCCTCTTGGGCTTTATACTGAGAACCTGTCTTTTTTGGGGGGGAGGTAATGGGACTTGAACTCAGGACGTTGTGTTGCCAAACAGGAGTTGTGCCACTAAGCTATATCCCTGGCCCTCGGATCCTTAAAAAAAAAAAAAAAAAAAAAAAAAAGCAGAGAACTGTGGAGTGATAGATATCCCATGCATTTGTTCAGCCTTAAGAGATATTGCTAAAAGTGGCATTGTACTGACACCAACAGCATGTGAGAAGTCAGTGCGCATATCATCTTTACCCCTGACACTGTTCATTCTTTTTTTTTTTTTTTAAACTGGTACCAGGGCTCGAACTCATGACCACCTGCTTCAAGGCAGGCACTTATGCTGCTGAGCTAAATCCCCAGCCCCCATTGTTTATTCTTTTATGTTAGCTTTTCTGGTGCCTATTTAATGGGAGAGGTGGCTTAGTGAGAGAGGTACCAGAGATCGAACTCACGACTACTGCTTGCAAGGCAGGTGCTTTTGCCACTGAGCTAAATGCCCAGCCCCTTATCATGTATTTCATGTATTTCTTTAGCATTTCTACTTCTTCATCTGAGAAGGGTCTGTTCATTTTTGATGCCCATTTTTTGAATTTGGGGGTGGTTCTGTATTTTTGAGCTCCTTATATATTTTAGGCATTAATCCTTTGTCTGAGGAACAGCTGGCAAAAATGTTTTACCATCACGTGGGTTGTCTCTTCACTCTCTTGGTAGTTTCTCTTGCTTTTCAAAAGATTTTGAATAAGATGCAGTCCAAGTTGTTGATTATTTCTGATAGAAGCTTTGCAATTGGGGTTTTTTTCCATGAGATCTTTGCCTATACCAAAGTCTTCAGTTCTACCTGTCTTCCAGCAGATTGGAGTTGTTTCTATTTTCATATTGAAGTCTTTGAGCTATTTGGATTTTAGCTTAATGCCTGGGAAGGGATATGGGTCTAGTTGTAATCTTTGGCATGTGGAAAGCCAGTTTTTTCCAGCACCATTTCTTAAAGAAGCTATCTTTCTTCCAGTGAGTATGTTTGGCTCCTTTGTCAAAGATAAGATGATTGAGTATGCTGGAGTTGTTTCTACATCTTAAAATCTGTTCCATTGATCCTTGAGTCTGGTTGTTTTGTTTTGTTTTGTTTTGTTTTGTTTTGCCAGTTTTTATCACAATAACTTTGTAGTATAATTTGCAGTCAAGGATTGATTGGATTCCTTTCTGGTTTTGGTATCAGGATAATACATGCTTCCAGGAATGAATTTGGGAGTATGGCTTCTCTTTCAATTTCTTAAAAGAGACTGAAGTAGTAGTATTAGGTTTTCTCTAAATTTCTTGTGGTGTTCAGCAGTGAATCTGTCAGGGCCTAGGGTTTTCTTTATTGATGGGTTTTTAATTACATCTTCACTTTCACTGACAGATACTGATTTATTTAGAATTTTTATACCTTCTTGATTCAGCTGTGGTAATTCATATGTAACTAGGAATCTGTCTATTTCTTCTTTGTTTTCTATCTTACAATACACATTCTGAAAGTAGGTTTGGTTTTGAGGATCTTCTGAATATCTGTAGGGCTTCTTGTGATTTCCACCTTTTGATTCCCAATTGTATGTGTTTGGGTCTTTTTTGTTTTTAATAAGGTTGGCTGAGAGTTTGTCAAGTTCATTTAATGTAACACAGAACTCTTTGTTTCATTGATTCTTTGTATTATTTTGTTAGTCTCCATTGCTTTAACTTCTGCTCTGTTCTCTATAACATCCTCCTTTTTACAAGCTTTAGGCATGACCTGCCCTTGATCTAAAAGCTTGAGGTTCAACAGTAGGTTATTTGAGCTTGCTCTGTTTTTCAGCTATGGGTATTCAGTGCTGTAAATTTCCCTCCTAGGACTGCTTTCATTGTGTTCCTTATGTTCTGTTACAATGTATTGGCATTATCATTTAA